GCCAGGCCCCGGGACACGGCTGGAGGCCAGGCGGAAAGGACGCCCTCCCGGAGCTTCCTGCCCGAGGCCGAGCTCTGGCCAGCACAGCGGGGCTGGCGGGGCTGGCCAGGGGGCGCCCACAGGGCTCCAGGTGCAGCAGCAGCAGCCGTGACGGCCCGCGGGCGGCAGACAGGAGGGGAGGTGTCCCGCTCAGCGCCACCACGTGACCCTGAAACAGAGGGTTTCTGGCGGACCCAACGAGGCGAGGCAGACGCCGTCGTTACGAGGCGAGGAAGGTGGGAGCAGCTTTCTGACAGCTGTTTGCGAGCAGGAAGCACGCAAGTCAGCAGACAGACCCGGGGACGCCAAGGTCCTCGCGGCCGTGTTCTCCACGGTCACAGGACTCACACCACCCTCCCTGCCTGAGCTGCTGCCCGGCAGTGTGGCCGCAGCGCTGGCTCCGCCAGGACTGCCTCCCGGGGGCCAGGGCTCAAGTGGGGACCAGGTCGCCCGGGGCGGAGGGGGCTCTGGGAGCCTTGGGGGAGCAGGAGCTCAGCTGTCCTCGGTGTCCCCTGCCCTGCCGGGGGCCGTCACGCCGACCAGCACGGGCACCGCCTTGCACTCCCCAGGCCTTCCTGCCGCGGGAGACTGGACCTGCCCGTGGCTTTGCTTCAGCCCGAGCCAGCGCCTCTCCCCAGACCACTGCCCTCCCGGCCACCTCTCCCACCTGCCCTTCCCTGCCAGGACCAAGGGGGCTGCACAGCACAGCACAACACAGCACAGCGTGCGTCACCGCCCAGCAGGCCCTGCCCCTTCACCTGAGAGACCCTCCGGCTGTCTGTCCGGGACGTGTGCACAGGTGAACACCCTGGTGCCCCGCTGCCCTGGGTGCAAGGGCTGGCCGAGAGCACGGGGCCCTGGGCTTTCCCGGTGGAGAGGTGCGGGCAGGGGCCGAGCAGACAGACAGCCCGCCTGCGAGCCAAACTGCGGATGGACACTCGGACCAGGGGACTCTCGGACTGACTGACAAACAAGGCCCGTCCTCACCGACAATGACACATCTTGGAGAGCCAGGCATGGGACCCGGACTGGAGGGAAATCCCCGAGGGAGGAAATCAACACTGACCCTGAAAATATCGCTTCGTGGGTCCTGTACCCAGGAGCCCCACCTGGGCCTGGCCTGGGACAGCAGGCTGCCCAGGCCTCTGGAGACACTCCTTCCCCTGGGGGGCATGGGCGGGGTGGGGTGGGGGTGCACTGAAGCTCCAAGGCAGGCCCCGTGGTGAGCGCACTTCCAGCTGCGTTTCTGAAACTCGGAAGGCTGACTCGTTCCCTCGGAGCAGAACCGCCAGGGGAGGGAGGCAGAGCAAAGTCCGGGCCTCGGAGCTAACTCCCCCTGGCCTGCTGTCGGGCCTCAGCGTGGCTGAGGGGGGCTGGCCGGAGCCGACGGAGAGATCTAGTCGTGGACGGCACTCTGGCCTGGGCCCCCACGCCCACCATCTTCAGCCCGCCTCTGGGTGGGCACCACATCCTGCCAGGTTTCCTCCCGCGGATCTTCCGGCCTGACCTGCGCTGACCACCCTCCCCCACCTGGCCTCCAGCCATCTCGCACCTGCCACCGGGCCAGTCCCCGGCCCCTTGGGAGCCCACCCTGGTTTGCAAGGTGGGAGCTCTGGCCCCAGCCTGGTTTCCACTCATCGCTCCCCACTTCCCCGGAGGCCACCCTCCCCCAGGCCCGAGACTCGATCTCCAAGAATGGGGCTGTGGCGAATGCACTAAAATGCAAAGGGCTCCCCAAGAAACCAGCTGGCCCTACTCGATGGCCCACCTTCTCTGGGAGAGAAGGCTCAGCCCAGCAACTACCGGGGGGGCAGCCACGGGTCAGGCGCAGTGCGGGTGCTGGGGCGGACCGCGGACACTGCCCGCTCAGAGGTGGACGGTCACAGACACGGCTCAGGCAGGAGCCCAGATCCCGCCGAGGAGGAGGTGCAGAGCCGCTGCGGCCGCCACGCCCGGCCTCCCGCAGGGAGGCTGTCCCCAGGAAGGTCTCCGCGCTGGTTCGCGGGCAGAGCAGCAGCGCGGCCGACTGACTGCTGGCTGCCTACCAGCTAGGTGACCTCTCCTCCTTCGTGTCCTCATCTGTGACAGCGGGCTTCGGGGAGGGCGTCCGGGGACCGGGCCGGGCCTGGGAGCGGCGGGGAGACGAGAGCGGTCCCTGGGGGCTCCCCAGCAGGCCGCCGGAGACCTGGGGGCTTTGACCGGAGGCTAGCAGAGGTTCCGAGGTCCCACGTACGTCCAGGCCCTCGAAACTCCCGCCAAAAGGCCACCGTCAAGAGAGCATGGACTGCTGGGCTGGGCTCCGGGAGGCGGCCGGGGGTTCCTGCGGCCACTGCTGGGGCTGCGGACCGTGTGCATCTCGGCCCCGGACATCGGGCCCCCGACCAGTCGCAGCCTGGACGGCTACCCCAGCGGCCCGAGAGGCCCCACGGCGCAGCAGACCCTCCCCAGGCGGGACTACGAGGCCCGGCCTGCCCTGCTCCCGCCGCGCGGCGCCTGCCGGGAGCTGTAGTCCGGCCTGCACGAAGAGCGTGCGCGCCGGCGGCCCGCGGACTACGAAGCCCGTCAGGCCCTGCGCGCCGGCGGCCCGCGCCCCGCCCTTCGTCCTTGCCACCGCCCCCGGCCCGCCGACCTCGCCGCCCGCGCCCACGCCCGCGGCGCGCCGCCCGGCTCCCCGCGCCCGCCAGCGACTACCGATGTCTATGGCGAAGCGCTTGGCGTTCTCCAGGTTACGGAAGATCTCGTCGGGGGGCAGCGTGATGCTCTTGTCCAGGCTGTCCCCGCTGCTCCCGCTGCCTCTCACTCCACACTCCGCCATTTTGAATGTGCCCGGCCAGCCTCATCAGCCATGGAGATATATGCGCATATATTTGACTGATAAACGCCTCCCGCGCATAGATTATGCTAATGAGCCGCCCTGGCCGGCCCCGCCCCGCCCGCCTACGTGGTCTGGGCGGCTGGAGGACTCCGGCCCGCCCGGAAGGGAAGCACAAAACCTCTGCGCGGTTGTCTGGCGCTGTGCACTGTGTCTTTGTTCTTTCGCGGAGCTGGCCAGGTGCTGACCCCAAGTGCTCCGAGGTGGGGCAGAGAGGCCACCTGGGGCTTGCAGACCACCGGAGACCTGCCTCTTTCCCCCAGTGCAGCTGTAAGCCTGGCCCCTGCAGGGGAGGGAAGGCGCGTGTGAGCCCATCGCCTGAGTCTCCAGGGATGCCGGGTGTCGGTGCCAAAAGTCCCGTACCAGGCGGGGAGCTGGGGACCCTGCTCTCCAGGCGACCCTAGTCCAGGGAGGGAGATGCACCTGCAGCTGGGGAAGAGGTTCGCCTTGGTGGCCAGTTCTCAGAGCGCTCAGGGGAGCCTGCCTGGAGGAAGCTGCCTTCTGGCAAGGAGGGGAACCTGAGGGAGTTTGCAAGGAACAAACAGGCCGAGGAAGCCCCCAAAGCGGCAGCAGCGACTCCTGGGGCGTTCGCCTGGAAGCCCTCACTGCCTTGGGTACCCTCAAGGGATGGGTCCCTTTGAGAGGCACTGGGTGCTTTGGGAAGGAACCCAGCTTTGGAAGTGGACAGGGCACCTGCCTCCCGGGTGACCCGAGGCTGGTAACGTGTTTCTCGGGACCTCAGCCACCTCCCGAGCCCCCTTCCAGACACCTGCGGGAGCAGAGGTCCGAGAGCCGCACGGAGAACTCCGGGGCGATTCACAGGAGGGGCTGGTGCCAGGGCATCAGGCAGGGGGTGGCAGCCTGGAAGGCCCTTTCCAAGGGGGTGGGTGTGCATGCTGCTCTTCGGCGGGGACTGGGGTGCAAGGGTGCAGAGGGTCCACTCCCAAGAGGTTCTCAGGCATCCAGGACCCTGGACAGTGGAACGCCTGTGGGCCCGCCTGGCCAGGAGGCACACGCCACCCCACTGGTTGGTGTGCCCGCCCCACACGCATCACACGCTTGGGGTGGAGGAAGCGGCTCCCTGTCCCCTGCTCACCACTCCCAGGGGCTCTGCTCAGCTTCATCCCCGAGGCCCCTGGCAGGCACTGGGCTGGCCTGGAGGGGGCGCCGTGGGACACTCCCTCACAGGGCAGATGGACGGGGACAGAACACAAGTGCTGGGCAGGAAGGAGGGAGGGCCAGCTGGGCCCCGCGTCTCTGAAAACAGTGCCTCTTGGCCCCACATCCAGCCCCACACCCACTCCCCGTGGGGGGGGGGCGGGGCCTTGCCCCTTGACCAACCCAGGTGCCTCTGGACTCTTGCAGACTCCACACCCTGCCGCCTGCCCCAAAATAGGTGCCCTTTCCGCAGCAGGGGACGGCCCTTGGCAGGTTCATCGCCAGCTTGGCCTGTTCCAGCCCTGGCGCGTGGTCAGCCCGCAGGGAGGGCCAGGAAGCCGCCGCTGGGCCAGCCCAGCAGGCGCCCCCCGGGGACACGTCCAGGGTCGGGTGCCTGGCCGGCCGTGTGGGCTCCGGGGGGGGGTGGTGTCAGGGTCTCTCAGCGTCTCCTCCCGTGTGCGGGGCCCAGCTCGCCCCTTCTGTTGCAGCAGCAGCAGCAGCCCCAGTGCAGGCTGTGGCCTTTGGGTCCCCTCCGCCCGGCAGAGCTGCTCACTCCGCTTCCACCCCGCCGGCAGGGAGCCAGTGAGAGGCCCGGGGCAGAAATCCAGGTCTCGGGCGTGTCCCCCTCTCCTGCACACGGGGTGCCTCGGGCTGCAAGGCTGCCTCCCCTCCCCCCCTCCCCACACTTCCCTCCCTCCCGGCCCCTGCCCTGCCTCCCCTGTGTGTGTAGGGGTGCAGCCAGGCAACGGGGCTGTGCAGACCAGCCCCTCCTCCCTGTCTCCCGGCCCGCACCCAGCCCTGTCTTCCCTTGCCCCGAGGGCCCCGCCCACGGGGGCGCACAGGACACTGCCACCTCCCCTTCCCCCCGCAGCCCCGCACGCCTGGTGGCCGCCGGGGACACCTGTGAGGCACAAGACACGGACGGCAGAGGACCGACAAGTCAGGTTTTATTGGAAGTCCGCAGAGCAGCCCCGTGGCTCCCACAGGACCGAGTTCAGATCCTGAGTACACAGTCAGGCCCGAGCGCGCCCACCCACACAGAGGGGTCCTTTAAGGGTCACGGCGGCGCCCCCCCGCCCTCCCCCACAGCCCGCTGTGAGCCCTGAGCAGACGGCCACGCGCCCGCAGCGGCGCCGCGTGGCCCTCCCGCGCCCGTCCAGGCTGACGCTCTCTCCTATGAGGATGCACCTTGAGTTCCGCCTTCACAAAAGGCAAATGCGCCGCGGCGGGCACGCCCGCGCCCCAGGCCCGCCGGCCCGGCGGCAGCGGGCCCTGAGGAAAGTCCTCTACCAGCAGGGGGCCGAGCCCCTGACGCCTACGAATGTCATAGAACCCCGGGCAGCGGGGACTTCCCAGAAGTCGCTTGCTGAAATGCAAACACGGAACAACCCCATGGGGTCGGACGCTCGGCAGAAGGTGGGCCCCGACTGTCCTAAAAGACAAGGACTCTGCACGCACATTCTTTGAGAATGACCCTACCGCTGGCCCGCCAGCCTGGAGCGAGCCTTGGAGAGGAGGGGCCGTCCCAGTCCCAGGTGGCGCGGACGGACGGACGGGCAGGCTCTTCCGCTCTGGTCCCGGGGCTGCAGCCCGCACCTCCCGCCGAGTCACCAGGGCCGCCAGAGGCCGCAGGAGGGCTGGTGTGCGGCGGCGGCGTTGGCCTTGGCCGGGGTGGGCGCCGGCGCCTTGGGTTCCTTGGTCGGCGCGCCGGGCGCGGCCGGCGGCCGCTGGAAGTGGTAGAGAAGCTTCATCTGCGTGTCGCTGGCCGCGTGCAGCGTCAGGAACTGCACGGCCTCCTGCAGGCACCACGAGTAACCCTCGCTGTAGTCCTGGTGCAGGTTCTTGGGGCCGGCGGCGGCGAAGGCTGTGGGGAGACGCGGCGGTGAGTGCGGCGGGGCGCGCGGCGGGGGCGGGCGGGGCGCGGCGCGGCCGAGGGCAGGCGGGCTCACCTTTGCTGTGCTTCAGGTAGCTGACAGCCATCTCCAGGATGTCGGCCTTCTCCAGCTTGGAGTTGGGCTGGTGCCGCGCGAACTCCTGCTCCAGCAGCAGCTTCAGCTGCTCGATGCTGCTGTTGATGCGGTCGCGCCGCATCTTCTCCACCACGGGCTTCCGCAGCTGCGGGGGCAGGGGCGTCAGGAGGGCCGCCGGAGGGCGGCGCGGGGGGCGCGGGGGCGGCGCGCGGCGGGTTGCGCACTTACTCGGTTTTTCTCTTTGGGGCTGAGCAGCTCCACAGCCACGGTGCTAGGGGCCATGCCTGAGCGGAGAGAGGCGGTCGGCGAGCAGGGAGCGGCGGGCGGCCAGGCGCGTCCGAGCCGCGCTGACCCGCCCTTATATAGGCGCGGGCGGCGGGCCGGCGCCTGGGGCCCGGGCGCCGCGGCCGTTCCCACACTCGGCGGCCAATGGGGGCGCGGGCCGCACAAAGGCGCCGGCCCATTAGCGCACGCTAAATTGCCTGTGAATGGGCGCGGGCACAATGGGCGCTCCCCGAGGAGCAGGTGGGCCGCGCGGCACAATGTCCAGGCTGTGGGAACGCGCTCGCCCTCATTAGCACCCCGGGCCTGACGCCGGGAGCCCCGCGCCTCAATACGCTGCCTTTTCCCAGGCTGCGGGACCGGGGGGGGGGGGGCAGGAAGGAGCGACCCCTCCCCTCCCCTCCCCCCTCTCTGCTGCTGGCTGGCAGAGGCCACTAGCACGGAGGAGGGAAGAGCTTTAGGATGAGCGAATGCCGTGGCTCCCAGGGCGCTGGGCACCGTCCCTCACAGGGACCGGCTGTCGCCCCAGGGAGGGGGCGAGGCCACACTTCTGCACAGGCGCCTCCCTCTCCCCCGCGCACAGGTGGACGAGGGTCGCACACTCTCAGGGTCGCACCTGCCGGCCTCTGTGGCAAGTCCCCAGGATGGTGCCCGGGACACATGACTTCTCCAGAGCTGGAGTGTGGGCGGTCGTACCCCCCCCCCCGCCCACAGCTGGGCTTGGGGAGCTTTGCAGAGACGGCTGGAGGCAGTCCTGTGGGGCACTGCACCCCAGGGAGCAGCTGGGCAGGCACAGGCGTCTGGGGTGCTGCCAGCCAGCCAGCAGGTGCCCCTGAGGCCCACCCCCAGCACCCCCTGCAGGGGATCTGACCCTGGTGGTCCACGGAGCAGTGGAGGGCACCAGTGCGTGGTCACCGCTCATGCGTGTCCAACTGGGTGGGCACTTGTACGGCTTGCTCTCCGAGGACATTCTGAGGGCAGAGGTGTCGGGTGGCAGGTGTGTGGGTCAGAGCAGGGCAGGCCCGGGGCCTGCAGGGGTGCAGTGCCAGCTCCGACGGGCCCCCTGGGGACCCAATGGGAAAGCTGATAATCCTGGTGCCCGGCCAGCCCAGGGTCCGTGGCTGCTTTGGGCCCCAGCCCCCCCTGGGCCCCCAGGAGAGGGCCTGCTGGTGGCTCCTCTCTGCTGGAACAGTCCCGTCCTCTCATTCTGCAGCCGGGAGCCCAGTTGTCCTGTAGGGAATGAGGGAGGGGCAGGTGGACGCAGGCAGGGAGGGCCAAGGGGCAGCTGGGTCCCCAGGGCAGGAGTGGCCGCTGGCAGCAGGGCACGGTCACCAGACCTGAAGTCCAGGAGCAGGGTCCCCGGATGGCAGCCCGCCTGAGTGGGGCTGGGGCCTCGGAGCCTCAACAACGGTGCAGGCGCACCCTCCCCCCCGCCCTGGTCTCGGCGGCAGCCCGCAGCTGTGAGCACGAGTCCGCCGCCGCCGCACACAAGGAGCCTTCGGTCACCCGGCGAAGGGCCTGTCCGGGACGCAGGCAGGGTGGTGCCGGGGCGGCCAGGGCAGGCTTGGCTGGCAGACAGCACCGCGTGACCCCACAGGCCCGCTGGTCCCCCGCTGGGATGCGTGGGGGAGCAGTTCCCGGGGCGGAACCTTCAGGTGGCTGTGGAGGGGGCGGACAGGAACAGGCAGCCCCTGTTCACCCTCTGGTACCTGGCCCGCCCTCTCCTCCCCCACCTACACCTCTCCTGAAGGGGCCCAGTCCCCGGTGGGCGGGCGGTGGGAGGCAGGTGGCCCCGAGCACTGAGTGGGGGCCCTCCTGCTGGCCCGTGGCCCTGGTCTGAGGCTGCAGGCTCAGCCCTCTGCTCCGCAGCCCCGGGCGCCCACGGTGGCCCGCCCCGTCGGCGTGGGCCGGCGGCCGTGGGAATGCAGGGATGACGAGGGAGCCGAGTTTGCAGCCAAAGCGGGGCTGGTGTCAGGTGTGTCCCTGGGGTTGGGCTGGGGTGGGGGCAGGACGACCCTGTTGGCCGTGTCCCTGTGGCCCACGCCCCGCCAGCAGGGGCCCGGCACCCAGGAGGTGCCCAGCCAAGGGCTGAGGGAACTAAGGAACACGGGCCAGCCCCAAGCCCGCTTGGGCCCCAGCCACAGCCCCCACCAACCAGAAGCAGCCAGAGCCCACATGTGGCCAGACTGCCCGGCTGCAGGCAGGGGGTGCCCGCGGCAGCACCCGGGTGGGGCCCTCCACCCCCACCCACCCCGATCCCCAGCCTCGGGGAGGGCAGTTGGCTGGGACCCGTGTCCCGTCCCGGCCCCCCTTCCAAGCTAGCTCCCGGCCCAAAGGAGACACGTGCCAGGAGTCTCGGCCCAGCCCCCACTGGGCCCCAAGTGCTCGCCCACCCGCCATGGCCGGGGTGGTCGCCAAGGCGAGGGTGGGCCTCGGGCTGCCTTCTCCCTCCCTCTTCTACCCGTCCCCCCGCCCCCCGCCCCCACTGCAGCAGCTTTGATCCGATTTGCGGCGGTGGGAAACATGAAATGAACGCCGGTGAGTCCCGGCCCGGCTGGCTCCCGCCCCGAGTGCAGGCCAGATGGCAGCTCGGGCCTCCGAGGCACACGCCTGGCCTTTGTGGGCCGTTTAACACTGTGAATGGGGCTGAAGTGTGGGAAAGTCGCGGGGCTCCTGGCTCACGCCTCCAAGGTGAGTGGCTGTGCGGCGGGGGAGGGGCGGCTGAGGGGCAGGGGAGGGGGAGGGGGAGGGAGATGGGGAGGGAGCGAGGGCTGAAGGGCTGCTCCAGCCTGACGGGCTTTGCACACAAGCCCCCGGGATGCTGGGGGGACCGGATGCTCTGCCTGGCTGCCCCTGGCAGCTGGGGAGGGGTCCTTCCCCCAGCTGAGGCTCTGAGGATGGGGGGCGCTTTTCCTGCCCGTCCCCCCCCAAGCCCAGGAGGCCTGAGAGTCCAGCCGGGTGGAGTGGGGTGTCCAGAGTGAACGTGCCCCTAGAAACGGCCACGGGGGCGTCACTGTGCTAGAAGCCAGGTATCTAGGACCAGGGCCCATCTCTGCACAACAGGCCCCCCACACACCTCCCCACCCAGGCCGGCTGCAAAGCGCAGCATTTGTTCCGCATGCCCAGGAGGGGTTTGGGGTTGCACGGGGTATGGCTGCCGTGGACGTGGTGCAGAGGTCCCTCAGACTTTACACATGGCCATGGCCGGTGGGGCTCAGCGGATTGAGCACTGGCCTGTGAACCAAACGGTCACCAGTTCGATTCCCAGTCAGGGCACATGTCTGGGTTGAGGGCCAGGTCCCCAGTAGGGGACATGCAAGAGGCAGCCATGCATTGATGTTTCTCTCTCTCTCTTTCTCTCTCCCTTCCTTTCTCTAAAAATAAATAAATAAAATTTTTTTAAAAAATTAAACATGGAGTGACCACGGGACCCAGCCATCCCACTGTGGGGCGGGTCCCCAGAGCAGTTGAAAGCAGGGGCGAAGAAAGGGGTGTGCCCCCGCGTGCACAGTGGCACTGTTCACAATCGCCAAGAGCGTGGCAACAGCCCAGTGTCCGTGGGGGACAGACACACACGAGGTGGTCCAGCCACATGGGGAACATTGCTCAGCCTTAGAAGGAAGCAAGCTGTGACACGCGCTACAACGTGGACGGACCCGGAGGACGTCACGCCGTGTGACATGTGCCAGACACAGAAGGACAGACTATGTGCCTCCACTCTCAGGGGGGTCCCCAGAGGACTCAGACCCACAGACACAGAGCAGACGGTGGTGTGGGGGCTGGGGGGGTGGGGAGTGTGTCCTGGGGACAGAGGTGCCGTTCGGGAGGACGGAAGGCTCTGGAGACGGGGGTGGTGGCGGCTGCACGACAGTGGGAGTGTGTGTAATGCCCCCCGGGACTAGCCACACACCCTCTCCCCAGACAGGCGACCCCAGCCCCTGGCTGCTGTTGGCACGGCGACTCCCCAGGACCCTGTGGCAGGACTGGTCTGAAGGGGACACGGCCGCGCCCAGCCCGCCTCTGCCCAGGCCCCTCCCAGGCCTGGGCCGAGATTCTCTGGAAAAGCTGTGCCCTCAGCAGGGTCCTCGGAAGCACTGGCTGCCCCCCGTTTGGGTGCTCTGGTTGCCAGGGAGTTTCCAGCACAGGCTGTGAGGGGTGGGCAGGGCGGGGAGGGCCAGGGGCCGGGCTGGCCTCCTGGGGAAGATGGGACAGGGACGACCCACAGTGGCGTACTGCCCAAGTCCAGGGCCACCCGAGGGACGCCGGACTGCGAGAGGCACAGGGACAGGCACTGCCTGAGGCTGTCCGGCAGCTCGGCCCTTGCGGGGGCCACCACATGCGGTGCCGTCCCCTCTGGGCCTCCAGCGCCTCCCGGCAGGGCCCCAGGCTGACCCGCCCCCGGCCAGGCCGCCGCTGCGGCCTCTGAGCCCTCGCCCAGGCTGCAGGGAGGTGAAGGGGCAAGGCTGGTCCACCTCCACGCCAGCCACGGGGGCCCTGGTGGCCTGGGTCCTGGGGGGCGGGGGATGGGCTGCTGGGACGCCTGGGGTGAGGGGGCCGGGTCTGTCCTGGGGCATTCGGGCAGCAGCGGGCTGGGGTGAGGGTCCCAGCGTGTGAGCACCTACTCAGACCAGGTGGGGGACCCACAGTCTGACTTCCCAGAGTGACCCCGAGAGGGGAATGTCCCTGTGCCCACGTGACGGACAGGAACCGGAGGGCCACAGAGCAGAGGTGACTTGCCCGGGGCGGTGCGGGCTCGGACGGCTGGCGCCGTGAGAAGGGTGAAGGTGGTGAGGAGGACGGCGGACTTTTGTGAGCATTCGTGAGGCACGAGGCACGCACCCTGGTGTGGGATGGAGGACGAAGTCCTCCCGGAGCGGTGGCGTTTATTGTCCCGGGTCCCTGACAGCCCCCGCCGCGGCGAGGCCGCCGAGGCCACAGGGAGGTGGGTGAGGGCTGGAGTTTGAACTTGGGTCGGAGGTGGCCTTTCTCCTTCGGGAGCAGCCGGAGGGAGGTGGGCTGGGGGCAGGGGAGGGGTGTGCTGAG